CAAATATAGTTTTTGAAGGCTTGATCAAATTCTTCAGATTTGTATAGCGCCTCATCATGTTTAGCAACGCAGGCCGGTTGTAAATGTAGCCATGTACTGCAATACCCCTTTCAAATGTCTTTTTCAGTCTAGATATCTTGAAAATGTCTTCTAACATCAAGTCCAAGCAATGAGCAGCACATGGTGTTCAATACAAATGTTCATACTTGGCTTCCAAAAACCTCTCTATAATGTAACAACAACGAAGAATTATTATTTTCAAGTTTTTAAATTTTAAATACAAAACAAACTATGAGTAAACAATTTTGATGTAAGGAATGAGGAAATATTCTTACCCGCCAACACATTAGCTGCAGCACTATCAGTGATAACTTGCACCACATTCTCTTTTCCAACTTTCTCCACAAACTTGTCTAATAATTCAAATAGCTTTTGCCCATCATTTTGAATAGCTAGAAGCATCAACCGACTCAATAAACATGGTTCTTCTTGGACAATTAACTAAAAAGTTAATCAATGTCATTCCTCTCTTATTAGTCCAGCGATCAGCCATTATGGAACACTCGTATTTTGCACAATCCTTTTTATGATTCTTCATCAAATCTTCAGTATGTCTCACTTCTTTTTTGAGTTGGGTAACCCGCACTTCATGGTAAGTTGGTGGCTTCATACTAGGACCATATTGCCCAATGGCTTCAATCATTGGTCCAAAACTTTCATCATTTATTGCATTAAAAGGGATACCATCATCATACATCCACCTTGCAAATCTTTGCACTGCCCGAGCTCTCATTTCTTTTTTGTAAGGGTCATTTGCATCAATTTTGGTTTGCTTCCCTTTTGCTTGGTTTTTTCAATTTTTCACCACTGATTTAGGATTGGGTGTGAAGTAAACATCCATAGGCCCTTTTCTCTTTGGCATTTTTGATTTGGATTTGGATGAACCTTGACTGCTACTTGTCAACTTACGGCGTTGATTGACATTAATCCCAACAACATCTTCATCTTTATCTTCATCTTCCATGTCCATGTCCATGTCCATGTCATCGAAATCAGGCAACATGTTCATTTCTTCTTTTTGTGTCTTCTTTTTTGACATGAACTGTCTAATCTCTTCTCTTACATGAGCTGGACACATCGGGCAAGTAGTGACATTCCTATAACCTCCCACGAGGTGTTGTTTCACCCGATAAACACCTCCATTTGATACTTTACCACAAAAATAACACTCATACTTGTTTAAATTATTTTCCTCTACCAAATGGGCATATTGCCACGCTGGATCTTTTCTATTACTTTCAGATGTCATTTTCCACTTAGTACTTACTACACAACACAAAAAATAAATAACAGAAAAACAATTTCAGTATAATGAATGTAATGTATGTGATGAATTAATTATTTGTATTTTTTTTTTTAAGAGGAGACTCAAAACAAAGGCAAAAAAGAAAAACGAAAAAGAAGAACAGAAAGCTAACCAGCAGAATAAGAAAAAGAAAAGAAGCAGAATAAGAAGAAGGGGGAAAAAAAGAGAGAAATTTCACCCAACAACCAGCAACGAAGAAGGGAAAGGAGGAGGAGAAAAAGAAGAAGAAGAGGAAAAAAATTCACCTAGCAACAAGCACAACCAACGAAGAAAGGGGGGGGAAGGGGGAAACTAGCGAAGCAACAGAGAAGAAGAAGAAATTCACCCAACCCAACCCAGCAACCAACAAGCGAAGAAGAAGGAAAAAAATAAAAAAAATCGACCGAGCTTCGAACAACGAAGAAAAAAAAAAAAAAATTTGTCGACAGAGGTTTGAAGAAGAAGAAGAAGAAGAGTACCTGGTTCGAGAGAGAGAAGAGCCCAGTCGAAGGAATGAAGGAATCGAAGGAGCCCAGTCGAAGGAGACAACACAGATTAGGGATTTGATTTGAGTCGTCTTCTGATTTGGGTTGTATTGTATTGTATATGAGTTGTAATCGTATGTGTTGGAGGCTATTGGAACACAATTTTGAGCCATTAGATCTGAATAAAAAATAAACACAAAAGGCCGACTAGGCGCACGTCTTGTGCCTTGCCCAGTCGCGCGACTGTTCTACTGCGCCTCGCCTTGGCCTTGTTAAGTCGCGCCGGCTGCGCCTGGCGCCTAGGCGTGCCTTTCACAACACTGGGGTAGTGGGTATTAATGCTGATTCAAGTTTGATTCAAAGAGTGGCTGAGTTACTTGGGTGTGGTATAGAGACATTTTCGATGAAGTATTTGGGGCTCCCGCTGGGAGGTAATCCAAGGGGTGAAGTGTTTTGGAATCCAGTTGTGGAAAAGATAGGGAAGAGGTTAGAAGGGTGGAACAGGGCTTTACTATCCCATGGGTGTAGGTACACTTTGGTTAAGACAGTACTAAGTGGAATTCTAATTTATTTCATGTCTGTGTTCAAGATTCCAATTAAGGTAGCAAAATTTATAGAAAAGTTAATGAATGATTTTCTTTGGGAAGGGAAAGATGAAGGAAGGAAGGATTATTTGATGAAATGGGAAACGATGTCCTTATCTAAGGAGAAAAAGGGTTTGGCCATTGGTAATATAGTGGCTACAAACATGGCTCTGCTGGGCAAGTAGTTATGGCGATTTCCCAATGAGCGTGGTTCATTATGGCATGCAGTTATTAAAAATAAATATGGGATTCAGGTTAATGGTAGGGACTCTCAGGTGGTCTCGAGGGGCAGATTTATCCAGTTTGGTCCCGATTCATTTCTATGAGGGTGGGTAATGGGGAAATGGTCAAATTTTGGGAGGATGTTTGGGTGGGTTCGATGTCCTTGGCGGAGTCATATCCACTTGTGTATGGTGTTTCTCAATCTCATAATTGTTCTGTTGTGTCTGTGGCAGGTTCTTTGGTGGTTCCTTTATCTTGGAATTTTAATTTCTGTCGGAATCTTCATGACAGGGAAGTTCCGGAATTGATTTCTCTTTTGTTAAGGCTTGAGGCTCGAAAATGTTTCTTTGTCTCCAATTTTGAAGGATAGGTTGGTTTGGAATATTTATTCGTCAAGTTCTTTTACTTGTAAATCCTTTCTTGATAAATCATTGATACTTCTCATGTACCTAAATTTCTGTTTCATAAAAAGATTTGAAAGGCATGTGCTCCTCTTAAAGTGAAAGTGTTCATGTGGATCTTGGTTTATGGGGGCACTTTGACAAATGATTCATTGCAAAAGAGGAGACCTTCGCAATATCTTAATCCTCAATGGTGCATTATGTGTTGTAAAAGTGGAGAATCTCTGGATCATCTCTTTTTGCATTGCTCGGTGGCTAGGCGGTTGTGGCATAGGGTGTTTGGATTGGGTAGTGTGATGTGGGGGGCCCCGAAAGGATGTGCTCAAATGTTATTATTTGATTTTCAAGTTTTTGGAAGGTCGAAGAGGGCTAAAGTGCTTTGGAGTGGTGTCGTCTTTGCAATTTTTTGGGTCATTTGGTTAGAGAGAAATGCTCATGTTTTCGAAGGAGTTGCCCAGGATATAGACTATTTATGGGATAGGGTGAGATACTTGGTGTCTTTTTAGGCCTTGGCGAGCTCAGTATTCCAAGGGATTCTGCGTTTTTTGCTTTCTACCGATTGGGTGTCAGTTTGTACAGTGTAATAATAGATGTTTGTCTTTTTGTATCTTCTTTTGTCTCTTTTTGGTGTTTTCCATCTTTCTTGTAGAGGATGCCTTATCCTCATTTTTCTTGGCCTTGAGCCTTGATATATCTTTGTTTGTTGCTAATCAAAAAAAAAATATATATATATATATAATCATCTTCTACTTCACTGCAAGTTTGCCTCTGCTTCACATAAAATCCTTTTTGCTGTAGTTAGTTTGCTCCACTTGGCAGGAAACCTATAAGAATTTTTTTCCTTCTGTCTGTTTTCATATCGATTGTGCAAGTCCACTTTTCATATATCGCTTGTAAGTTGTAAGCTAGAAAACGATAGGCTTTGGTTGTTCTGTAAATTGTGTACCAGAGAAAGCTAGGAATTAGCTTATACTGCAATAATGGAAATATTGAAATATGAAGTTGCTGTGTCTCTGATAAAAGCTTCCCTTGGTATATCCTTCATGGCGTCAAAGCTATATTTTATGTTATTCATGATATCAAAGCTATATATAAGAGTTCTTTTATTTTGTTCTTTGATGGTCTAAACTCTAAAGTGTTGGCAAGGAAAATTATCTATAATGCTTGTGGATGATCATGGTAAATGAGGAAGATTTTTTATGCTGGTTACCTTGCTGGGGCTCTTCTTTAATTTTTCCACTGATGAGTAGCTGGCTGGAGTTCTGATTTTGTAAATCCAGGAGATTGGCATGTGTTCAACTTGGTTGAAAAGGTTTCTCCTGTATATTAAGGACTGGTAGAGTTTTTTTTCTTTTGTGGTATTAGTCCGTTAGTTAGGAGACAAGTGGAGAGACTGAATGGATGACAGCATTAAAATTAATTGATTACTCAACCTTGAAGAAAGGGAAGTGCGTACTTACGTAGACAACCTACTCTTGTTCCTTGTGTCAATATTCTTGTGGTATGTACATGGGATACGTCTGGTTTCAAATTCCTATGTAGGCGGTAGGCCTATTAATCGGCGTCCTTTGCTTTTCCTGCTATTTCTGATATTTTATGGTTAACATTTCTAGATAGTGATAGACGTCTGTAAAGGTTCTCTCTTAGAGTTCAGTGATGTCATTTCAATGATTGTACACCGTATAAACATTTTATTGAGCAACTTACTCTATGATTATGTTCCTCAATAATTCTGGTTGCCTTTATGTTCAATTGTCAAATGTATTTGTAGACCATATTTCTGATTTCCCTTATATTCAACTGCCAGTGTATTTGTAGACTTGCAAAGAAACCATATTGCTTTTTGGTTTTAATCTGTAATAAGGTTTTTCGAGTTCACTCCTTGAATCATTTTAGGATTTCAAAATGAATCCCTAGTTGATCCATAATTACACTTCTAATCAGTCACTACTGTATGTTTCAGGGTGTATGTGGAGCAGATACCTTTAGCAGTGGTTCAATTCACATAGCTCTTCGGCAGATAGTGGCAAAAGAGGGTCCCCAAGCTCTGTTACGAGGCCTGAAACCCAGAGTATTATTCCATACACCTGCAGCAGCAATATGCTGGTCTACATATGAGGCTATGAAAAATTTCCTCCACCATGAATGCCCTTCTCTCTCCCAGCCCTAAATGCGCTATACAACTCTTGGCGAGCTGTTTGTGCTCCAGATCTTGAGTCATATCCCATGACTGCCGACCTCAAGGAGCCCTTGCACGAGCCATGGTGTGGCAGTATGTCATTTTTTCACCTGCATTATTTGTGGCCAAATATCCCTATAGGTCATGTTGTCTTGTAATTTCATTATTCCATAGTACTACTTTATTATAAGCAATATAGTCAATATTTTTTGCAAGTTACGGAGGGAGAGGGCAAGTAATTGTTAGGGCAGTCCTGACCTCTCAGTGCGGAGGCTAGATTTGAAATGGGAATTTTCATTGATTGTAGTTATTGTCACAACTTTTTTTTTTTTTTTTTTTTTTTTTTATTTTTTTTTTTTTTTTTTTTTTTTTTTTTAAATTTTACATATTTTAAGTTATTCAGTTGCTCTCCCAATTCAGGGAACACGTCCAACTTTTCCTTTCCCAGTTGTAGAACTATGAAGGGAGAATATGCTAAACTTGAGAAAGATCTCCCCTTTGGATGAAGAGAGAACTTGGATATTATTTTCAACTGTTGTGCTTGAAGAATGAAAAGGTTGTTCGATTTTTATGCTAGTTGAACCCATCTGATGCAGAGAAATTTATTTATTTGTTTATTTTTTCCTATTCTCTATTTATCTACATAAAGTTGTTTGTCGTGTTGTGTCAACGGTGGGAATTAGTGTCTTATTATTGTACGATAGTTGTATTTACTGTAACTATGGTTTGTATGTTTGTGTTAGTGTCCTCTATTATTGTACTATAGCAGACATACCAACATATTGTCCATCCCCATTGTCTATACAAGTACGTGTTGTCCTCCAGTGTAAGTAGGCTTTGGCCGGTTTTATGATAAACTTGTTATATTCTTGTATGCTTGCTGATCCTATCTTTTTTTGAGAAATTATTCAATGTTCTTGGAGTATTACATGTTGTACTCTTTAATCATTCAATATGTCCCTTCATATTCTCCAATCACTCAACACAATACTCCACCTATTCACCTTCTCCACTAATCATAATATTATAAAATATTACGTATTTATATTTTGAGATTACTAAATAATTACCCTCTTTCGTTGTGATTGTACTCTCTCAGTCTCTATAATGACCCGAGCATCGTGCACTAAAATGGCACAATGCACAACATCCGCATTTTCAAAGCAAACCATTCAGGAAAGATCCAAGCACCCAGCCCAATCAACTCAACATCCGAGTGGGAATTCTAATTCAACTCAACAAAAGCAGATAGAAACTTCTATGCCTGCCTATTTTGAAAAGCTATGGTCGTGGAGGCTTTACTGTCTAGATGAAGGCTAATACAAAATAGAATACTTAACCTACACAGCAACAAGTCAAGTCTTTGCTCAATTCAATAATCTTGACCACTGTTCACAAAGTAAAATGCAGCATAATCAATGTTTCGAATGTATCCCAGATTTGTCTTCCGTACGTGGTTTTTTTTCTTTTTTCGGGTAAAATTACACCGACACCACTGAGGTTTGGTCCGATTTCATCTCACTGTTAATGTTTTAGAAATTATATTTTTACTCTCGTGGTTAATAGTTTTATTTCACAAACCCCCCTATCGTGAAGTAGACTGAACGTTAGACTTGTTAAAAGAATCTTGATGACATAAATAAAAAGTAAAAAAAAGTAATTGAATTACGGGATTTCAAAAAGTCTTTTGTAGCTTTATATCCTATTTAAAACTACCAATATACCATAAAAAAACAGTCCCGTTAGGTAGCCCGAATCTTCCGCGGCTCGAATGGCTCGAGGTGCCAAAACGACTTTTTTTTTTTCTTCCCTTTCTTCCTCCTCTATCTGTATCTGTTCGTCCACCGTTTTTTTTCTTTACTTTTCTTCTTCCACAGAATAAAAAAAAAAAAGAGAAAGAAGAGGAAGGATATTCAGCAGACGGAGAGGAGAGGAAGGATACTCAATTCATAGATAGTCCCAAAAAAGAGAGGAGAGGAAGGATATTCAGTAGTTCAACCTCTGATGAACTGCATATATATATATATATATATATTTCCTTTTCTTCTTCCACAAAATCAATAAAAGAGAGGAGAGGTAAAAAAAATAAAATAAAAAAATCAAACATCAAAAATCAAACCCAATACAAATCAACCCCAAAAATCCCACAAATCAAACGCACAAATCAAACCCACAAATCAAAACAAAAATCAATACACAGAACAAAGAGAGATAGAGAGAGATACAGATCAATAGATCTGTGTGTAGAGAATGGTCGGTGATGGCGAGGATGGCCGGTGGTGGCGTCGGTCGGTGATGCTTCTCTCTTCCTTTCCTCTCCCTTTCTCTCTCTTCTTCTCTCTTCCTTTCTCTTATCTCTTTCTCTCTTCCTCCCTCTGCTTCATAGATAAAAGAGAGGAAAGAACAAAAAAAAAAAGAAAAAAAAGAAACCCAAAACGACGTCGTTTTGGGTTTCAAGCCAATTCGAGCCAACGGGATTTCGAGCCCTCAAACATTTTTGATAAAAAAATGGTCCAATCATACCAGTTGCCATTTTTTTGAAATCCTAACAACAAGATATCTGTATTATTTTATTAATTTATGTATGTAAAGATTTAGAGGCAAAAATATCTTTTAATACTAATATTAATTCCGTTTAATATTAGTAGAATATTTCAAAAGTCAAGAAATGATTGTACCCAAACCTCAGGGGTGTGGTGTAATTTATCTTCTTTTTTTAAAAGTAGTTATGATCACTTGGCCAGACGAAGATCCATTGGTAAGATCATCAGTGGCTGATCCTAGTAACAGTAGTCCCACTTTCACACATATATGCGAATAATCTATAAATCAACCTGAGAACAAATCACCCTACTATCAACATCACAACCACCAATAAGTATGTACGTGTTTGATACATAATTTTTAATTTTTAATTTTTTTTAAGTTTTATTAATAAGTACTCTTAAAATATAAGAAAAAGAAATTATAAATAAAATGTGATACTTTTCACTGAATTTAATATATTTTTCAACAAAATTAATATATTTTTTAATGTCTTTACTTACTTTCAAAACACTTCCCATTTCAATTTTAATATTAAACCATGTGTCAAAACAATAGTCAGCATTTGCTTATTTTTATCTAAATTAGGGAGGGAGTCATATCTTCAAAGGGACCCACCAAAGCTGATATTATCCTATCCTAACGAGCCCAAGTGTCCACCCATATTCACGTTGTGTTAAGTGGGTTGGTTTTTGACTTTTTTTAGTCTGCGGTTAAAAAGTCTAGTTTGGAAAGAATTTTTTGATTTTTTTGATTTTTTTAACTTTTTTTGTGAGAGAGGAATTTAATGATTATGGGTTGAATTTGATATTTTATTTTTTGTGGCTAAAATAGCCTATTTTGTTTTTTGTGGTTATTTTAGCCCCTAACGCACCAAAACCAACTTCCCAAACTATGGGGGTGTTTGGCAAGAAAAAAAAAAGCCTAGTTTAGGCTAAAATTCACAAAAAGACAAAATAGGCTAAAATAGCTAATAAGACAAAATATCACATCAAACCCATAATCATTTCACTTTTTTTCTCACAAACATCACATTCAATCACAAAAAAATCCAATTATTTTTTCAAACACAAAAATTTTAACCTATTAAAATAGCCAAAAACTAAAATAGCCTATTAAAATAGCATCTTCCCAAGTATGAGATAGTTTTGTCTGGTTTTGAGGAGTCTTGATTGACTAAATATGGAAGATTTTTGAGGGTACCTTTCCAGAAAGATTAAATCTAGAAAACAAATTTTTTTTTTGTTGATAATTCAGGGTGTCTGGGTCATCTTGCACGCACCTCAACTAATTCTTGAGGGACTAATCCCACCGTCCACTAGCGGGGGGTCCATTTAAAGCCAATGCAAAGCTCTGTATAGACTGGCTCAACATAAGGATTAATAGCATTTAAGAGGTTTTGAACTTAGGTATTAATGCTCCAATAATACTACATACTCAAAAAATAATATCAAGAAATATATTTAAAATAATATATTTATAGAACAAAATCATTATAAATATGATCCATATCGTACTAATTTTAAATCTATACCATTAATCTAATTTTTAGAATAACTTTCAAGATAAACTTTCATAATTCCTAACATTTTTCATTAATATTCCATAGGCCATGTAAGAAATTGATTGGGTGCCTAGCATGCATGCATGTTGTTGAATTTATCTGTGCTTTTAATTTATTGACCAACAAACAGTATATATTAAATATGTTATTAGATAATAACATTTAATCTAAAAAAGTTTGCATGCATGTTGTTGAATTGATAAGAGCTTTTCAATTTATTGACCAACAAAAAGTGTATATTATAGGGGGATTTTTTTTAAGGTCCCTGATATTAAGAATTTATAGCATAAAGGACACTCAATATTTTCATAATGTCTAAGGTCCTTCAACATTAATCCAGAGAAAATTCGATCCAGAGAAAATTCGATTCAGAGAAAATTCGGTCCAGAGAATTTCTCTGGAAAATCCAGAGAAATTCTCTCCAGACATCCAGAGAAATTCTCTTTATCCAGAGAAAATTCAGATAGTCCAGAAAAAATTTAGACATCCAGAGAAAATTCAGATAGTTCAGAGAAAATTCACAAAATCCAAGAAACTCTGCATCATCATGCATTTTATATGTTCTCTTACAAATATCTTTTCATGAAGGACAAAATAGGCTAAAATAGCTAATAAGACAAAATATCACATCAAACCCATAATCATTTCACTTTTTTTCTCACAAACATCACATCTAACCACAAAAAAATCCAATTATTTTTCCAAACACAAAAATTTTAACCTACTAAAATAGTCAAAAACTAAAATAGCCTATTAAAATAGCATCTTTCCAAGTATGAGATAGTTTTGTCTGGTTTTGAGGAGTCTTGATTGACTAAATATGGAAGATTTTTGAGGGTACCTTTCCAGAAAGATTAAATCTAGAAAACAATTTTTTTTTTGATAATTCAGGGTGTCTGGGGGGATCCATTTAAAGCCAATGCAAAGCTCTGTATGGACTGTCTCAACACAAGAATTGATAGTACTTAAGAGGTTTTGAACTTAGATATTAATGCTCCAATAATACTACATACTCAAAAAATAATATCAAGAAATATATTTAAAATATTAATGCTCCAATAATACTACATACTCAAAAAATAATATCAAGAAATATATTTAAAATAATATATTTATAGAACAAAATCATTATAAATATGATCCATATCGTACTAATTTTAAATCTATACCATTAATCTAATTTTTAGAATAACTTTCAAGATAAACTTTCATAATTCCTAACATTTTTCATTAATATTCCATAGGCCATGTAAGAAATTGATTGGGTGCCTAGCATGCATGCATGTTGTTGAATTTATCTGTGCTTTTAATTTATTGACAAACAAACAGTATATATTAAATATGTTATTAGATAATAACATTTAATCTAAAAAAGTTTGCATGCATGTTGTTGAATTGACAAGAGCTTTTCAATTTATTGACCAACAAAAAGTGTATATTATATATGTAATTAGATGATAACATTTAATCTAATTA